ACATTTCCTCTGTTTTTTAACCTTCAAATACCACATGGATTTATGCCTCTGAGTACCTGCTGGTTAAGTTTCTCATGTAGATAAAAATGCTGAAGTCCTGTTTTTGGAAAGAATTTACAGCTTTATGGACTGGGGGAAATTAAAAGAGGCTGTACCTACATTAGAAGCTATAGCCTGACTCGTCCTGAAGAAACTTTCCAGGTCTTCAGGGTGAAAAAGAAAAACATCCTGAGATAGTTTGAGATATTTTTTCTCCTTTCCTTTCTATTTTGGACAGCACTGTTTTCACTTTTATTGATATTATCTCTTCTTCTGCTCCAATCAATTGATATATCTAGAGCCTGTGTCAGCACATGGATTTTTAAAAATTCATTTATGTATCACATACTGCTGTACTTGCTCCTTTATCCATTGGAGAGGTTAAATCTACTGCTTCCCTTATATTTTTCACATACTATTTGTTGTGGGAGAGGTGAGCAGCAGAGCAGACAGAAAATAATGTCTCCTGCAAGAGAAAATCCGATGTAAGGTGGGTCAGGGGAGGGAGGCTGTGGTGGAACAGTGAGTACAGGAAGCAATACTTTGGTATTCCAATTGGTACAACACGTTTCAAAAACACTTTGTAATTGTTATTTGTGTCAGGGTGAACTGTGAAACCACAGTACAGGTGTGGGATGTAACCCCTGCTCCTCTCCAGGTACTTCTGGGTACTGTAATGTTTGGGTGGTTGCTGGTCTGGCTACACTGGCTGCTCCTACAAAAATACTGGATTGTGGACAATATTGAAGGAAGTCTGTTTTTGTGGAGCTGGCAGATTTAAGACCCTTGATTAAATGCATTCACAGCTTCTCTGCAGAACTGCAGAGCTATCATGATGTGATTATAGGGCAGCTGTGGTCTGGTGGACTCAGAACTCAGAAATTAGGAAATATGAATTGTCTTGATGTGCCACAGTTTGTTTTGTGAGATCCTGGGATGGTCACTTAAAATATTTTGGCTACTTCTTGACAGACCTACTTTGGATGTTTACTTTTTTTGGAGGACTCAGCTCACTCCTTTGACTGTATTGCCCACAGAGAGTGTGGACTGACTGGATGAGATGCTCAGGCTCCCATCCCAGATGCCTGCATTCAACCAGATAATGGGACTGATGTGTGCCTGTTGGCCCAGAGACTATTTGCAATTGGTTTATAAAGGGTTAATCTATTCAGAATGTCTTGATCAGTCATTCCCTACCAAGCTGAATAAGTTTAGGGGGTACTGATAAACAACTTGCCATTTACTGTTCCCTCTGCAATGAGTGTGCAACAAGAGTCAGCCAGGTATTAATCCTTTCTAAAACATTTATAAATAAAACTTGAATACCGAGTGTGGCTGCAATCCCCGCAGGTGTGACTGAAAGCAGAGGTGCAGAGCACTGCTCTCCTGTGACACTGCCCTCAGCCCTGGGATCACATCTGGACACACATCACAGCAGCAGTACCCAGAAATCATTTCTTGGTTGAAAAGAATGATTCCCTTTTTACCCAGAGTAAAGAAAATCATCCAGCTCTAATAATAACTCGCTAATCTCACCCCACCGGAGCAGCTCAGGGAGCGCAACGGAAATTTCCTTCCCAGCTGCTGGGAGAGCCTGTCCCCAAAGAGGGCTTTTCTTTTGATAAGGTGCCTCCTCTGCCGGGCTGCTGAACCAGCCTGAATCAGCACGTCACCCTGGAGTGCAGGAAGATCCCGCTCTCCGCCGCTGAGTCACATGAATAACTGGAATAGTTCTGCAAAGCAGAATTAATTCCCAGAACCTCTTCAGGCATATACCAGCAGGCACATGCTTTTGCTCCGGCGTTACTTTACAGCTCCGTGATGCAGTAGAAAGGACGCTACTGATATTTTAAATTGAGATAAAGCAGTTTACCTGGTGCTAAGAGTGTTAAACCTTACGTGTTTATTGTTGACACTCTCCTGCTTCCAAGAAGATTTAGGAATAAGCCAGGACATAACAGAGCTATTAGGGTTAAGCTCAAATCAACTGTGCAATGACTCAGAACTTGTAGTCCTTTCAAACCAAGTGCTGGGGGAAGAAGCTGCTTATTATTAACTGTTGAGTAGTGCATGGTTTGTGCAGCCTGTTTAGGCAGCAAAGACATCTATGGAAACTCTCTGGGGGTTTTGATCTATTATACTGTGAATAAGAAGTCTGATTTACAAGAAAACCGAATCAACAGCACTCAGACTGTGGTTTAGCAAAGTCCTTATACAGCGTGATGGAAATTTGGGCAGAGCTATGAAATTCTCTATAGAACCTTTCAGTAAATGCTGCTGGTATGTTAAAGAAATGAACTTGTCTGAAAGAGGGGAGTGAAGGAAAAAGGCTCTGTAGCAAAGGTGGGATTCAGGTATTGCTCCAAAAAGTGGACCAGGGTGGGGAGCTGAAATAGGGAAATAGGATGACAGAATCATAGGAAAGCAAGGAGAAGGCTGGTTAGTAGTTAATGAAAATTGTTGAGATTTTTTTCCACTTAAGCTGTATTTTGTTATCCGAATAATAATGATAAGCTGACCAGGCATACAGAAGAGGCATTACTTGTACTTCCACCTGTTACTCTGGAATACATCATAAATGAATACAGGATAACCTGTTCTGCACTCCAGCATCAATGATAACAGGAACTGATTACATGGCTTTGATTTCTGCTCTTTCTTCATTGTTCTAGAATATTAAAATCAAAGTTTTTGCCATTTCTCCAGAAAACCTGATGTGAGGTTACTCCTGACCTTTTACTTTCAACAACCATCACACAAAAAAAAATACATGAAATCTAGAAATTCAATGCCATTGGGAAATAGCACTGAGGTAGAGCTCCAAGCCCAGTGTTTGGAATCTGGATGTCTGTACTTTCTTTATGTTTTGCCCACTGATGAGCTTGTGCCACTTCCTTGGGCTCCAGGTCAGTACCTTTCCCCGTGGCGTTTCCAAAATGAACCCTCACCAAACCCAAACGTTATTTACAACATCTGTTGCTTGTTTGGATGGCAAAATTTGTGATAACAGTGAGAAGAAAGTAAACAGTCCAGTAGCCATGGAAACCTCCTATCGTTTTTTCCTGTTTCTTTTTCTGCTTTTTGCAGTGAATGAGTCGGTGCCGAATCCAGCTGGAAGGCAGCCCGGGAGACGGCTGTCCCCAGCTCAGCCATGGCAAGGGACAAAGCCTGCCCGAAGCCAGCAGCTTTCTCTTTGTACACTCTCACCAAAGGACTTTTTTCAGGGAGCAGCTTGTTCAGGAAGAGTAGTTCAGTGCCTCAGGAAGGGTGGCCGTTTATTCCCTGGTCTCTCTGGCTATGGCCAGAAAATAAAATAACCCAAACACACAGTAGAGTATGGTGACTCACATCCACATGATTCAGCTCTTTCCCCCCATTCCTGCATCCCAAGCAGGTGGTCTCATCCAGACAGTCTACAGGGAACAGTCCTTGGACTTTGATGTATTCCAAGGCATCATCTGGGAGAGCTGGGACAGGCCAGTGCCATGTCAGGGAGGGTTCTAACAGTGACACACAGCTCTAACACAGCCTGGGAGATCGTGGATTAAACTGTGTCCTTCTCCTTCTGGATCTGCAGTATAGACACAACCTCTGTGAAAACTGTTGCAGGGGCCTTATGGTTCACACAACATATCTGGCTGAGCAGTAAAGCTCAGTTTATGTTCCAGAAGGAGGCAGGACAGGTATTTATTGTAGGAAAGCCCCCAGAGTACCATAGTTAGTGGAATGCTTTTTCTATAAAATTTTACAACCAGTTTACAGAATTCCACAGAGAAGATTGTCAAGATGCAATCTTTATTATATTCCAGTCCAAATCTCTGTGTGGCTGCTAAATGTGTGCAGTAAGTGTGTCTCTAAATGGACTTGTCCCTGGTCACATGGGCACTGTGTCATGCCAGCATTGATATCATCATTGGATTATCCTCGTTAGCACTTTGAATCTCTCTAATGCACTTTGAAGTCTTCAGAGGAAGAGCTTCATGGGAATATTTGGAGAGCCTGATTCAGTTCTTAATTGGACTGACTCATGTTGAGTCACCAGGATATCCATTAGCTGCATCTTTAAAATCCAACATGGAGATTTTCAGTGGTCTGTGAGGGAATCAGACACCCCCAGCAGCTGCTGAGATTTCTTAGGACTGGGAAATCTGCTTCCATTGTAGAAAATGCTGATTCTGGTGCACCAACCAGCACAGCTCTGGCTGCCAAGTCATCCCTTTTCAGTGTTCTCCTGATGCCTGGATGACCAACTGCTTGCCAGGAGGCTCTTGGAAAGATCTCCTCCTCCCTGGCTGCTGCATCATTGGCACTTCTTACACACACAGAGCCCACCACACCCACACCTCCCCCTCCTGCAAGGAGCACTACCAGAAGCAAAGTTAGAAATGCAAGGAGCATTCTCCTTTTCATTTCTAGGAAAGGCTTTTTACTCCATAAATGCTCTTGAACAAAACAGCAAAAGGCAGTGAGTAAGGCACCTGATGACTAAAATAATTCAGGTTGTGGGAAGCAGCAGGATTTGATGTTGAATACAAATCTGAGTGTGGTTCACTTCACCTAGCTCCAGCCATGTGAAGTTAAGCATTCAGCCTCAACAAGGCACCCAGGTTCTGAGCTGCCGGCAGAGGGGACAAGCACCAGCAGCTGACTCATCCCTCTCTCTTTGTTCTGCTGGGCTGAAATGAGTTGTCCTTTGATGTTCCTTCCTAATACCACTTCCTAATACTCAGCAAAACATGTAGAGAATCTGGAGAGGGCAGTTTATTGATGTTAGACAGCTCAAGTTAGGTAAGATAAAGCTAGCACTGATTCACTGCCATGTGCCAAGGACCACAGGTCCATAGGATCACAGATTCCGTGATTCCGTGGGTGCCAGCAATGGTTCACTTAACCTTGTTCCAGTCTGCCCATATACTCAGAGCGTCTTAGCAAACTTTTTTTTCTTTATACCTTTGTTGCAGATTTTTGGTTCATTACCACTCCTTTTGGAATAGAAAAAGAGGAGATAACTACTCTACAGACCACCTTGGGAATCTCTGTCCTGTAAGTCTCTTTCCTAGGGGAAAAAATATTTGCTTGATTCTGTAGTAACAACAGCACAGAATGGATGGCAGAGGAGAGAACAAGCAATTCCAACTTTTAGGATAATGAAGGGAAAACAATTGGGCCACTCAATCAGAAAATTAAACTTTGACAAACTTGGCCAAACCCTTATCTGTTCTAGACCTACTTTACTTTTCTTTGAGGATGCAAACCCTAGCATCATTATGGGGCTGCTGAAATGTCCATCAAGTAGATTCAATATGGGACAAGACTTGCAAATCGTTCTTTGATGCAGTAAAAAAAATCCCTACAGGATACTTGCAAAATTGGGGGTAAAGAATTAATGCCACAGCCTCACCAAGGGTGTGATTTTCCTTTTTCATTATGACAGATTAAAATTCTAAAACTAAGAAAAAGAGCTCTTAGGCTCACTAAAAACAACCCCCATGAAACAATGTAAGTGATATGTGACAACTCTCTCTGAGCAGCAAAAGGTTTGACTTGAGAATAACTGTGAGCAATTAAATATTGAATATAATGAGAAGAATATTTTCTTTGTGTTTCTTACGACATTTCTTGGTTAATTATATCATGCATCTGTTGAATATGTAAAGCTTGCTGCTAAAAATGTTCCACTTCTAAAATTAAAAAAAGTATGTCAGAGAAGGAGATGTGTTGTGAATAATACAAGAAATGTTACAAATAATGACGACTATGGAGCCAACGGGCCTACTCCCACAGGCAGAAATTATCAGGGATGAATAAGAATTGTGGGATGACAACTGTAGTACTTTAAATCTTTGAAAACACTTCACACGTTTTCACCCTAGAGACACCTTGAGACAGCAGCAGAGGAGAGATGCAGGAGCTCATCCTGCGCTGTTACATCCAGCAGCCCTTTGTGGTGATTTCAGCAGGGCTGGGATCAGGCTGTGGAACTGGCCTGAGGCTGAGCTGGTGTCAGGGGCAGGATGAGCTCAGGATTCTGCTCTGTGCACTGCCCGTGAGAGCTCAGACCACTTGCATGGTGCTACCTCTTAGCCCAGGGGTGATTGTGTAAATCACTCCTGCCTTCCAGCCTGTTATAACACTGACAGGGAAGGTGCCACCGTGCTGGTAAAGACTCTGCTCATGGCAAGAAGCAGAGGTTTAGAAATGAAAGATCCACATGAAAAGGCACAAAGATACAGAGGTGGCAGGAGAGGGGATGAGCCAGGGATGCTGAGAAATGGTGCCTGGACCAGCTGGGTGAGCAGTAATTCCTGGGTCTGGCTGAGCTTTGGGATCCAGAGCTTCGTGGTTGTGTTAGAGCAGACAAACAGGCAAAAGGATCAAGTTAGAGAGGTCTCATGTGCAGGAAATGCAGTGAGGAGTTCATCTTAACAGCTGCATTTCCCTACACGTGCTGTGTCCTGTCACAACCACTGCCTGACAGAGCTGTGGTGTAACAACAACAGCTCTGAGTTTGTTGGAGGAACTGGCACAGGCTGCGACTGGGGGTACTTCCAGTTAAGAGTGGCTGAGTCTTCCCCTCTAGGCAAGATCCATGGATATTTGTTCCCTGAAATAACCCCTTTCCCTTCTTATGCTTATCTAAACCCTGCTCTTACTGGCAGCAAAGGGAGTTTCCATTATATTTCTTCAGTTTTTGCTGGGTTTTCACATCTTAGTCTGTTCAGATATCAGAAAAGTTCTTTTCAGGGCTTGTTTCTTAACAAATGTTTATAAGAACTGATTTTAGTGTCAAAGTGATGTGCTTGCTCTGTGTGTCTCAGTGAGAAGGGGAAGGTGAGCTGTGAACTCACAACATTTCAGCAGGTTCGTGATGACTGCCTGGATGCCCATTTTCCCCTTGGAAAATGGAAGTTATCTCACTTCTCTTTTCCTGAAGGCAGATTATTTTATGTCAGCTGGAAACAAAAGCAAAGCACTGAAGCCATTATAACAAAATTCTTCTTCTCTTGGAAGTTCATTTCTGCCCTTGTGCTGCAGGTTCCTGGCTTCTCTTGGTGCCAGTCCAGCTGTGTGTGAAGCTGTGCTTTCAGTTAGATCATGGACATAATTTGGGCTAAGGAAAATAGAAAATCCCTTGGTTTTTATTGATAAAAAAAAAATCATTTCAATGATCCAGTTCTAGGTGCAATTATAAATTTTGGCATATGTAGCTCAGAGGCCGAAGCAAAGGTTGGAGAAAGCCTTGCTCTTGAGATAAGATATCATTGAACCCTGACAGTGTGTGCTCCCTACCCAGCAGCTGAAAAGCTTCACTTTCATCCTCTACCTTACCTTTTTTAAACTTGTTTCTGTATTCCCAGCTAAGGCTCACTGGTAGCTATTGGCTGTATCTTGGGAAATCATCTGAAATTGTTTCATGGAATAACTTCAAAATCTCACTAAAGCTTTTTTGACTTGAAGACCTGAGCCTGCTTCCACTGACAGAAATGACTGAACTCTCTGATAGTGAGGCTGCCATGAAATTGAAAAGTCCCTGTAAATGCTTTAATACCAGTGGATTTAGGGATTTCCTCAAGAAATTTATGGTTATGTTACCAGCTTTGTCTGTGTTTCACTGTCAATTGTCTACTGTTCTCCCTAATCCTCCCTGGGCGTTCTGGAGCTCTATCTTCCCTTCCCGCTGACAGATAAAAATTTATTGTTGCTACCTTCAATGTTCTTGACATGCTGAGAGCTCGTTCCTTTCAAGTAAACAGAGGAATGTTTTGGTGTTTTAGTCTTGAATTCTCTAAGATAATTAATTCAGTCTATTATTCTGTTCCCCTTAGCAACCTAACATCTGAGTTTCAATTACTCTAACCTTACTGTTTAATTAGTTAAAGCTTCCTCAGCCCTTTGAAAACTGAAGGTGTTAATTACTTTTGCAGCATGATTATTTTATATTTCTGAATGATTGGCATCTGTACCTTTTAACCTTCTCTTGTTTCTATTGATGGAGCAGTGTCCTTTGTCACTTCCCTCCAGAAACCAGAGATGTAGACCAAAACCATCCATTGAGTAACTTCTCTAACATCATTTGACTTCTGACAGGGAGAGATTTAGTACCTTTGCCTCAGCTTTCCCCACTTTCTGCTATGGATCCCTTTTTAAGTGGTTGCTTAAATGGATCCCAAAAAGACTTGGTAATGGTGCTGCTGATGCATTTGCCTGTGGCAGAACCCACTGCCCTCACCACAAATGTATTCGTGATTCACTTGTTTTCATTTATGCATGGAGGGACTAAAATTCCGTGCACCTTGGCTGATTCTAATTACAGAATTCTATCCCCTGTCCAGGAGCAGAGAATATGGAGAATTCACATCCATAGCCCATCCTGTGTTGGGCTCTGTCAGGGGAAGGAGAGCCAGCAGTTACACTCATGGAGCTCTGTGAATATTCATCCTAAAGAACTAAACCCTTCTCATAAATCAATCTTCGTTAGGGCAACGATTTTTTTTTTTTTAATCTTTGAAAGGGATGTAGACTTATTATTCAACAGTAGTCATCAAGTGATTCTGATATCTGCTCCTGTGAATCACTGGTATGCTCCAGGACTATTACTTTTAAATGTCAGCTCTTCACATCTCTGCTTCTTATCTGCCACCTCAGCCACCACGGATTGTTTCCTAATCACCATCGGTTGACTCCCAAACCCACAAGGACTCACCACTTCAGAAAGGTTTTTTTTTTTCCCCTGAGACTGATTTATGCAAGGAGAGTTGTGTGAACACTCACAACAAAGTCCTCCTTGACTGTACTCCCTCCTGCAAGTCTGTTATGAACTAAGTGAGAATTTGGTTGAGGTAAATGTAATTCCTGTGCACCTTTGTGCACCTTTGTGTTCCGTGTGACACCAGAGCTGCAAGAGGCGTCAGTGAGAGAAATATTTGAGTTTCTACTACCACTAACTTTGAGACATGGAAAAATTATGACAGCACTAGAAAGAGGGAGTTCTTCAGATTCAATTTTCAAGAAACCATTAGAGATTTTTTTTTTTCTGATATAATTCCTAATCTTTTCCTACTCAGCTTTGATAATAAATATCCCTTGAGGACAGCAAATATGAATCTACTGAGAATCTTGGACAAGGGGTTTTAATGATTTCATTTAAAGTGCTGTTCATTCAGTTCTTGCAATCTGCCTGTCTCTTTCCTCAATTCCTTATGTTTTACTCAAAGAATTCTCCCTTCCAATTAAGTGAATGAAGCTTAGAGCTGTCATAGGAACTAAAATGAATATGACTGATTTTTATAATATAAATTGGAAGCAATTACCAGTTTTCTATCTTCATTTTTGCTTGGAAAATTTACACTTAACCCAGCAATACACCTTAATTAAAGGCCTATCTATCTATCTATGTAACCTTCTCTTTCTAGCAAGAGTCCTTTTGTGGGCCATATTAAATTTACTATGGTTTCATCTCTTTGTTAATAACCTTTTCGTATATTTTCAATTAAGTTTCTGGTCACATTATAGCACTGAGGTAAGAGCTCTGGCTGACCTTTAATAGGATATGGATAATAGAACATCTTTGGCTCATGTTCTCCTTTGGTAGCACAACCTTGCACTTCTTCTGAAAACATCTCTGGAATTTGCAGACAGCTAAATTTGCCCCTTGCATGAAGAAATTCTATTCCAGACTGCAGTAAAACTGGATGGACATCCATCCACATTCCCTGAGACCAGACAGTGCTGAAACCTCACTTTGTCTTGGTTTTATGGCAAACACCAGTGGGAGATCGTGAATGGCCTTCTATGTAAGATAAAAATGCTTTCCTTTGACTGATATGTTCCATATGGCAACTCATGCTTCTCCCCACATGAACCCACAGGACTGTACTGTGGGGTAAAGGGTGATAAGGACCACTTGTATCTGCATTCAGAGCTCGGTGCTCTGGTAGTTGGACAGAGTAGGACTGGCAATTAATGATGTAGAATGATAAGGGATGTTTGTGCTCCCTTGAAGTCCACAGGATTTCGGGGTGGGAAGGGATATATTTGATATC